AGCTTTTTGGGCTACTGCTGCTGCACACAGCTGGCTCATATTTAAGTTTATTTAAGTGATCATCCACTAGGACTCCAAGGTCCCTCTCACAGTTAGTGTTTTTGAGCCAGGCCTCGCCCAATCTGTACTTATACCTTGGATTTTTCCTGCCTAAATGTAAAACTTTCCTTGTCTCCATATTAAAATTCATGTTGTTGAAGAGGGCCCATTTTTCAAGTCTGTCAATATCTTTTTTTTAATCCTGAGCTTGTCTTCTGGGGTCTTGGCTATTCCTGCCAGTTTAGTGTCATCTGCAAATTTGATGAGTTCCCCTTCTATTCCTTCATCTAAGTCATTGATGAAGATATTGAAGAGTACCTGAGTCGGAGCCTTGTGGTTCCCCACTGCTTATTTCTTTCCAGGTGGTGGATGTAGTACCATTAAGGACTATTTGTTGAGTATGGATTGTCAGCCAGCTACAATTTCCTCTGGGGTGATGCTGTCTATTCCACATTTTCCTAGCTGACCAAGAAGTTGGTTGTGGTCTACTTTGTCAAATGCCTTACTGAAATCTAAGTATACTATGTCCACAGCAATTTGTCTATTAATTTAGTCATTTTGTCAAAGAACGAGATAAGATTGGTTTGGCATGTTCGGTTTTCAACAAAGTTATGCCGGCTACTAGTTTTAACTTTGTTTGCATATCTGTTTTTTGATTACCATTTCCAGGATCTTCCTAGGTTTTGATGTTAGACTGATTGGTTTGTAGTTTCCTGGGTCTGTTTTTTTCCTCCTTTTTGAAGATGGGACCTTTGCCAATCTTCAGATACTAGTGCTCCAGGATTTTTGAAAGATCTGGTAAAGTGGTTCTGAGATAACATCTGCCTGCTCCTTCAGAACTCTGGGATGTCCCTGTGATTTATATTCGTCAAGATCAGACAGGTGTTCTCTTACCATTTTCTTGCTTATTTTAATTTTTATTTCTAGTTTGTTTTTTGCGGTAGGTTTTTTTTTTTTTTTTTTGCTATGTTGGGCTATAATTTCTTTTTGCGTAAAGATTGATGCAAAGAATGAGTTAAGCAGCTCTGTTTCCTCCCTACTATCTATTCCTTGCCATCTTCTCTCTTTAGTGCACCTATAACTTTCTTAATTTTTTTCTTGTTGTTTATATGTTGAAAGAAACTTTTTTAAAATTATCTTTTACTTTTGTTGCAAGTCTTTCTTCATTTGAGCCTTTGCTTTCCTGACTTCATCTTTGCATATTCTGGCTGTCTGCTGATAATTAGTCTTAATTATGTGTCCCTCTTTACATTTTTTTCTAATTGTATTTTTTGTCTTTTAGTTTGTCAGAGAGACTTTTGTGCAGCCATGCAGAGTTCTTCTTGAATGTCTTGTTTTTCTTTTTCAGTGGTATTGTGCTGGTCTGGGCTTTTACGGTGGCATTTTTCTGAGTTTCCCACGCTTCTTGACTTGTTTTCCCTTTTAGGCTTTTCATCCGTGGAATCTTTC